TCCTAGCCTCCCGAGAACACCTGTCAGTGTTCCCTCTCTTGAACCCGAGTTGTCACCTAGTTTGAGTTTGAGTCCTAGTTCAACACCTGAATCTGAGTCAGTAATTGTTCCTGGTCCTTCAATGCCTTATGTTCCACAGGAATCAGCACCTTCAGCACCAACTCTAGTATATCAGAGAAGAAGTAAATCTGACCTTCTCCAGAAACAAATTCAATCGTCTGAACCGGAGGTAAGTACTGAAAATGATTCCTCAAATGATGATTGTTCTATTTCTGATACTTGTGACACTAATCCAGTTGATTTACCCATTGCTTTGAGGAAGGATAAAAGATCTTGTCCCTCCTTATATCGACACCCTATCTCTCAATATGTCTCCACTAAACATCTTTCCACACAATATCAAAGTTTTATTGCAGCTGTTGATTCTGTGAAAATCCCATTATCAGTTGAAGAAGCATTGCAAAATAGAAATTGGGTCCAAGCTATGGATGAGGAAATGAGAGCACTTGAAAAAAATGGTACTTGGGAGATTATTGAAAGGCAAAGAGACAAAAAGCCAGTTGGATGCAGATGGATCTATACCGTAAAGTATAAATCTGATGGCACACTTGATCGGTACAAGGCAAGACTAGTGGCAAAAGGTTATACTCAGACATATGGTATTGATTATGAGGAGACATTTGCCCCAGTGGCAAAAATGAACACTGTTCGAATTTTACTATCTCTTGCTGCTTCATGTGGATGGGAATTGCAACAGTTTGATGTTAAAAATGCATTCTTGCATGGAAACTTAGAGGAAGAAGTGTATATGGAGATTCCACCGGGTGTTGGCATAACAAATGAAGCTAACAAGGTGTGTAAATTGAAGAAAGCCTTATATGGACTAAAGCAGTCCCCTCGGGCATGGTTTGGAAGATTCACAAAGGCAATGGTGTGTTTGGGCTATAAGCAAAGTCAAGGAGACCACACTTTATTTTTTAAACATTCACAGGAAGGAAAATTGACTGTACTTCTTGTTTATGTTGATGATATTATTGTTACAGGAGATGATTTGACTGAGAGACATTTGCTTAAAGAGAAATTATCGGCAGAGTTTGAGATGAAAGACCTTGGACAACTCAAGTATTTCTTGGGAATTGAGGTAGCCTACTCAAAGCAAGGCATCTTTATCTCTCAAAGGAAGTATGTTCTTGATCTTTTGCAGGAAACTGGCAAACTTGGATGCAAACCTGCAAGTGTTCCCATTGAACAAAATCACAGGATAAGCTTTGAGGAGGAAAGTGACAAAGTTGACAAGGGTCAATATCAAAGATTAGTGGGAAAATTGATTTACTTGGCACACACTAGACCAGATTTAGCATATGCAGTCAGTGTGGTGAGCCAATTCATGCATGATCCGAGGGTGAGACATTTGCAGGCTGTAGACCGCGTCCTACAATATCTTAAAGCAACTCCAGGGAGAGGACTTTTGTTTAAAAGAGGTGAGAATTTAGCTATGAAGACTTACACTGATGCGGATTATGCCGGCTCAGTGAGTGATAGAAGATCTACGTCAGGCTATTGTACTTTTCTGTGTGGTAACCTTGTAGCTTGGAAGAGTAAGAAGCAAAGTGTAGTTGCTCGATCAAGCGCCGAGGCAGAATTTAGAGCTATGGCACTAGGAATTTGTGAACTATTGTGGATGAAACAAGTTCTAGAAGACTTGAAGATACAGTGTGAAGGCCCTATGAAATTGTTTTGTGACAATAAATCGGCTATTAGTATTGCTCATAATCCTGTTCAACATGACAGAACTAAACACATTGAGATTGACCGACATTTTATCAAAGAGAAGTTGGATAGTGGGCTGATAACTACATCTTACGTTCCTTCTGGGCATCAGCTCGCAGATGTGTTAACAAAAGGCTTACCAACAGAAAGATTCAAACAACTTACTTGCAAGCTGGGAATGATAGATATCCATTCACCAGCTTGAGGGGGAGTGTTGTAAATATTAGACTGTAAATAGTAATTAGTAGTATTAGTAATGAGGCCCATTAGTCAAAACCCATTAGGGTTTCTATTCTCTCTTATTTAAAGCATGTAGTTGCAACATTGTAAATAGAACTTTTAATTCTATCAGTGAAATATTTTACAATACTTTTCAACCAGTTGAACCGAGAACCAGACAGTCTATTAGTTTGTTTGATCCGTTTGCATATGCTTTTGCTTTTGTGTTCAGGTGCAAGCATATAGAAGTTTCGAATTCTATGTTTGCTACTATTTTTGGGGCGATTTCACGACGAGATCAAACAAGTGCTCTGGTAGTGAAATCTATAAAACATTTTATTTAGTTGTTGCTATTATTCCGTTTTGGATCCGTTTTCTTCAGGTACACACTCTTTTCATTTTGACCTAGAGTTTCTGTTCTACTAACATAACCGAATCTGACACGGAACTTATTATTTTAAGTGTCTTCGCCGATTACTTGAAGAAGGAAATACAATGCATGGACTCAACGGGCTAAAATACGTCTCGACAATAGTTGCAGTTGCAATGCGGACTACTTCTAGTGAGTTTCGCCATGGAACTGTTTGGAAAATTCTTGCTGCAAGCTCATCAGGCATTGCAACAATTGTTAATACTTATTGGGATATTGTCATGGATTGGGGTTTGTTAGAAAGAAACTCAAGAAATCCATGGTTGAGAGATAAACTTTCTGTACCATACAAAAGTGTATATTTTGTTGCTATGGTAAGTTAATATTTTTACCATTTTGTGTGATTTTCGTTCGTTTTTTATCTGCGCGACGATTTGAATATCAGTTATTATGATGGAATTTCAGGTTTTGAATGTTATACTGAGGCTTGCATGGATGCAATCTGTTTTAGGCATTAAGGATGCTCCTTTCCTTCACAAAACAGCTTTGACTGCTATTGTGGCTAGTTTGGAGATTCTTCGCCGCGGAATATGGAATTTTTTCAGGTATATTATTGAAGTTATTGGCAATGATTATTACTACTTGGTTGGTTGGTATTAAAATTGAGAAGTTGATGTTGTGAAAACTGAATAGGTTGGAGAATGAGCATTTGAACAATGTTGGAAAGTATAGAGCATTCAAGTCAGTGCCTCTTCCTTTCAACTATCAAGATGATGATGATGAAGAAGACAGTGCAGATACATAGTAATGATAAGGTGTTTGTGAGGAATATATATAGGTTTTCAGTTCTTAATAGTAAAAGTTTGTGGAGGGTTTATTTTAGAGTTGTGTTTATTAAATTGTATAAATCAAAAACTATTTCACTCTAATTTATGTATTTCATTGATAAAAAATTTAGAGTGCGAAAATGTTTTTCATCTTCAATAAACATATCTCTGCAAATCTCCCAATTCTCGATACAAAGAATTATGATAAGTGGTACAAAACATGTGAAGGTGTTGATTGACTATCAAAATGTTCTTGAAGGGATCAAGAACAATGTTAGTCCACTTGTAGAAGGTGCAACAACAGCACACAAAGAACTTTAGAAACCAATGAGCAATCACTCTCAACTACAACCATGATTTCTCATTCTCCAATTTGGGACTCTTCATCCAACACTCAGGACACTCCTCTCAGTTGAAAGGCAATAAAGGCTATGAAAGAAAAGGATTATGTAGAAGCTTTGAAGATTCTTATGAGTAGTTGAGACCTTTTTTTGGAAAAATCTCAATGATCTTTGACTTTTTTGGGCAATGATCCCTCTAATGCTTCTTCTACTACATTGATTCAGCCATCGAAAGAAAAAATTGTCGATGTGGATTTTTTCCATACTCTTGAAAACAATCCTGTCATCGTCTATGAAATCAAAAGTTTGTTGAAACAACTTAACAATCCATATTAGCTTGATGCTCTTGCTAGTTTCAACCTTGAGTTTGACCCATTCATTGAGAAAATTGATCACAACGTCAAGACAAAGAAAGAATCTACTGATAGAAAGTCAAGTTGCAAACTAATGCCATGGAGTTGTTTGTGTCCTGACAAATATTACTTCAGAAGGTTCACCCATCAGAGAAGGCAGTTGATATGTTGACCAAGTCAATCACTAGTGACAAGTTCAAACATTGTTTGTATTTCTTACATGTTTCTCAGTGTTAAGCAGGAGGTGTACCTTCCCAGGTTTCAAGATGAATCGTTATGTAGAAAATCTTCATAGAAGTTTGATATTCGACAAGGTGGAGATTGTTGAATATGACTCATATTATTGAGATAATTATAAATTGTTGAAATAACGGTAGATTATTGAGAATATAACTCATATTGTTGAGATAATTATTGATTGTTAGAGATAATTATACGTTGGTCAGAATTATAATTATTCTATAATTATATAAGTAGACAATTTAATCTATAATTATATACGTAAACAATTTAATCAAATTTCGTGAATAAAATTTTTCTCTCTTCTCTATTCTATATTTAGATTACTTCTCTAATTTTAAACTTAAATGAAATCCACTATTACATCTAATCAATCTACTCGTCATAATTTTCCATTGGGCATATTACATTATTTACTCGACGAGTTGTGAAAATTAGTAAGATCCTTTTAAATTGGAGAAGATCTTGATTGATGTATTTTAAAAATAACACTTTTCATTTATTTATTTATTTATTTATTAAGACTACGAATGCATTGCTAATTCTAACAAATCCACAACTAATGCACATACATAAAGTGAACATGGACCAATTGTGGAACAGTTGGTACATTCATTCTGACATAGTCTATGTCACGACAAGTAGTATAACATAAAAAATACAAATTTGAATCAAATCAAACATCAAAGAAAGAGAATATAATTTTAACAAAACATGTGAATTGATAGAATGCTTCAACCACTCTAATTCTAAAACTAACTCAAAACCATTCTAGTAATAGTATCTAATTTTTATTTATCTATCTAATATCAAAAAATAAAAAATATTGTAATCAAATTTAATGTGTCTGCACTGTTTTCATCATCATCTATATGCTTGTTTATGTATCTGCACTGTCTTCATCATCATCATCATCTTGGTAGTTGAAAGGAAGAGGCACTGACTTGAATGCTCTATACTTTCCAACATTGTTCAAATGCTCATTCTCCAACCTATTCAGTTTTCATAACATCAACTTCTCAATTTTAATACCAACCAACCAAGTAGTAATAATCATTGCCAATAACTTCAATAATGTACCTGAAAAAATTCCATATTCCGCGGCGAAGAATCTCCAAACAAGCTACAATAGCAGTCAAAGCTGTTCTGTGAAGGAAAGGAGCCTCCTTAATGCCTAAAACAGATTGCATCCATGCAAGCCTCAGTATAACATTCAACACCTGAAATTTCATCATAATAACCGATATTCAAATCGTCGCGCAGATAAAAATCACACAAAATGTAAAAATATTAACTTACCATAGCAACAAAATATACACTTTTGTATGGTACGGAGAGTTTATCTCTCAACCATGGATTTCTCGAGTTTCTTACTAGTAAACCCCAATCCATGACGATATCCCAATAAGTATTAACAACTGTTGCAAACGTTGAAGAGCTTGCAGCCAGAACTGTCCAAACAGTTCCACTGTGATACTCACTAGAAATAGTCCTCATTGCAAGAGCAACTATTGTTGAGACGTATTTTAGTCCGTTGAGTCCGTGCATTGTATTTCCTTCTTCAAGTAACCGGCGAAGACACTTAAAATAATAAGTTCCGTGTCAGATTCGGTTATGTTAGAAGAAACTCTAATTCAAAAGTAAAACATATACGGAAAATGAAAAGAGTGTGTGTACCTGAAGAAAACGGATCCAAAATGGAATAATAGCTACGATTAAATAAAATGTTTTATAGATGTGACTATCAGAGCACTTGTTTGATCTCGTCGTGAAATCGCCCCAAAAATAATGGCAAACATAGAATTCCAAACTTCGAAATGCTTGCACCTGAACACGGAAGCAAATGCATATACAAACGGATCAAACAAACTGATAGACTGTCTGGTTCTCGGTTCAACTGGTTGAATTGGTTTCGGTTTGGTTCTTAAAACATGATGATGATTGTATTAGAAGTGACTAATGTTAAGATTTAGTATAATGTGAAATGCTAAACCTGGCTGGTAAGCTGATCTGCCAAGAAATTATCCGGAAAATTAACCTGAAAAAGTAGCAATCGATATTAGTATCTACAACGATGTTTTGAACATAAGTCTCGATTTTTTTTCTTTGTTTACCTTGTAGAGAGGAGCGCAAATGGAATGAAATACGCATCGAACAAGGAAGAAGCGGCTCGATTTATATATGATATTGAAGGGACAAAATGTTATGGCAAGCACAACCTGTCATACAAATTCATTAAATAAACTCATTGTTTTTATATAAGTTATAAGCTGAAACTAGCTTTTTCTCATGTCATAAGCTGTTTCTGTAACTTACTATGACTAGGCCTAAAGGCACTAGTTCTGTAAGTGCTGAGAAACTTTTGGTTCTTTCATCCATCTCCATATCCAAATTTGAGAGAACAGCAGCCATAGAAAGTACGGCAAGGCCGGAGCTAAGAAGAAACACTTCTCTATAACCCAACTCAGTTCCTTCTTTGAATCCAAATATAAATGGATAGTTGATTTTAAAATGCCTCCATAAGTATACGTTCGCAGAGTAGATGATCATATGCAAGACGATGTATCCGAAGAGACTGCAATAAACTAAAGTTCATTAATCATGTTTCTTGATACGGAACCATGAATAGTCCTAGAGTCTGAGTCTGAGTCTGGTGACTGATACCAACACATGTGATTACATTCCATTCGTCGATTTTCTAAAATTATTATCAGTGTTGGTGTTGTGTCTGGTGTCAGTGCTCATAGTGTGTATCTGACATTTCATGAAAACATGCAAAAACAAAATTATATAATTGCACGATAAAAATGCAAATGATTACCTCTAACTTACCTATAAAGCGGAAATATGTTATCCATATATTTCGTTCTACCTTCACTATTTAGAATATTTCTCGCGTGTATGAGTATAATTAGCGCTACAACTAGAGCGATCGCGCAGCCAGTAAATAGTCCTGTTTTATTGACGATAAAATGTAATGTATCTGCAACCGCAATATGAAACCATCGTTGACATTATTAATAAACAAAATTCGTTAAGCCGTTACCTAATAAGAATGTAGTTCGATGCCGCTCCCTCTTTGCGGTCGGTCTCAATAAGTTCATTCCTTTTCGATGATTCCCATTCGCAAAGTGCTTAATGAAAGCACGTTCCACCCGATCCATGAGCCTGTTAACCTCATCTGAGCTGCCAACATAAGAACTATCCACCATTTTTAGGTAATCTTTTGATGCATTCCTTGAACTCACCTGTAGTAGTATTAATCACATAAGGCCAAACTCGAAAAAAATTCGAAGCAAAAAGATTGTTCGTGAAACCGTAAAGGATACCTTATCATACTTCTTCATGATTTTTGAGAATGCCAACAAGTTTAAAAAGCTGCATACAGATTAGCTTTGTAAGTGTAAGTGATAATCAATTTTTTCATATGAAGAGCTTATGGAAATAAGTCGATACGAACAGCAATTTTAAGTTAAGAAATGAAGAAAGAAACCATGTCACCTGTATTTTTTAAGAAGCCTAAGCTTATGATAAAACTCCTTTAAGGCTGTGCTAAGTTGTTCATCAGCTTTCTTAAGCTCTTTCTTGTTAAATGTATGATCAGATTTTGAGCTTGATAAAAGTCCTTTTATGGTTGATACAGGAGTTTCTGGTGGGTTCACATTGATCTTCACATGATCAAGAACCTCTAGAGGAGCTGGTCTAAATCCCTCTATGGAAGTCTTGGAATTCGCTTGCGCCGCATGATTTACATGTTCTTCAAAATGATTGTCATTGCTCATTTCAACCTCATGAATCACATCCATGTGTAGACTTGAGTGACCTTCAAAGATAATTAGATTGCAACTTCTCAAAAAACATCAACTTCTATGATTCATTTTTGAACTATGTACCACAGACGCTTCAGATTAATAGTACGTGTCTGATGTCTGACACATGTATCTATATCTAACTTCAACACGACACCAAAATGTAAACAAAACAAAAATGAAAAAAGCTTACCATGTTTGGCATCATTGAAATGACGCATAAAGGGAATTGAAGAGGAGTTTCCATTGCTAGTATCAAGATTTTGAAACCCAATCTTATCAACCTTTATTCTAAAAGCAATAAGAACATTCATTTGCTTACTTAACTCCTCAGCTTCATCAACAACTTCCTTAACCACCTTCTTGTAAAACACATTAACCTTATTAAACTCAAAATCAAGTTTTCTAAAAAACTCAAGATCTTTTTCTGCACCATCTTCAGAACTCTTCAAAAACATAGTTTGATACAACCCTTTTGAATCTTCATCTTCTATAGAACGAATAAGTATAACTTCATCTTCACTTTTACTTGAAGAATCTCTTTGATTACTACCATTAAGACCACTAAAAGCTCTATAGAGAGTTAATCTTCTTCTCAATGATCCTTTTGGTGTTGATGCCATTGATGACTTTGATTTGTTTTGTTCATTCAACTTTGAAATATCTTTCAGAATGGATTTCAGAGAGATGTAATTCATGTATGCTTCTTGCCATTCCGGCACCATTTGTGACACAAATTCTTTTCCAAACTTCATTTTTTTTCAAGTGCTAAGAAAAAAATGAATTGAAGAAGAATAGAACTTTATTGTTTCTTTGTAAAATGGTGCATTAATATATATAAGCTAATTTAGTTAGTATATTTTTAATTTTTAATTTGTAAGTGAGTTGGCAAGAATTTTTATAATCAATAATTGATTATAATTTTTTTTTTTGTTTTAAATAAACTTTCCTTGTTAACTATGATAGAGAATATGAAAGTTGAACCTAAATGAAAAAAAAAGTGAAAAATATGTAGTATTTTACTAAAAAAGGCTAGTCTATATTTGGATAATCTTTTTGAAATCTATATTAAATGAATTCTTAAAACAAATATAGAAAGAAATATGTGTACTTATAAAAAGTGATATATTCTTAAATAGTAACCAAATATAATTAGAAATAAAACTAATATTTCGTTAAAATAAATAAAAAACATTTGAAAAAAAAAAAACAAAGAAAATTTATAACAACAGAAATGCATAGTATATTTGGTTACTAAATATAAAAACAGAAATATTTATTAAATATATAAATTTTTATATTCTTTCATAATAAAATGTTTATTATGGCCTACAATCAAGGCATAATGTCTGTATTTTATGTGTATTATATTCTATTTGTCTTCAAATCTTGACTTTGAAGCCTTCAATCCATTCATATCATGCGTATCAAGAATTTTTTTTTAAAATAACCGTATATTAAATTTAAATTACCACAATAATCAATAATTCAAAAAAATTTCTAAAATGACAAACATTTCTAGCCAATTCGCCATTTGGATTGGCGAAAGAGAAGAAATGGAAAATGAGTTTCAGCCAATTCGCCGTTTGGATTGGCGAATTAGCTCATCATTTTCAACCAATTCGCCGTTTGGATTGGCGAATTAGTTCATCCTTTCCAACCAATTCGTTAGTTCATCCTTTCCAACCAATTCGCCGTTTGGATTGACCAATTCGCCGTTTGAATTGACGAATGCGTTTGGCTTCAGTTGAAACATTGTTAGTTTGGGAATTTGTTTGAAAACAAGATTTAAATGATAATTAAATTATAAAAAGTTGTTATTTTAAAAAAAAATTCGCGTATCAACTATATATTATTTTTTTTCTACGTGTTTGGTTCATTTTTAAATGAAAAACGTTATCACAATTTTTTAAAAATAATATATAAAAATAAAAATAAAACAAGGTTGTGGCTTTGTCTTTAAATGGAAAAGGTAATTGAGAATTTGATAGTCTTTTGAATGTAGCAAAGAAAAGGGTATAGACTTTGAAGCCTTCTATCCATTCACACCTTTTGTAAAAAATATATTCTCTTTCTTTGATGTTTGATTATTTTTGTATTTATATATGATCACTATTTTGAATTTTTATTTTATTTTATGCTTATTTGTCGTGATAAATTGTTTTACTTGGTCCACGTTCACTTTACCTATGTGCATTAGTTGTGAATTTGTCAGCATTAGCAATGCACGTAGTTTTAATAAATAAATAATATTAGTTTTAAAATACACCAATCAATATCTTCTACAATTTAAAAAGGAGGGTTTCTATTTTGGCACCCAAAAATCTAACACGTGTTAGACCATTTAAAATACATGATTATGTCTTGTTTGTGTAAAAAACAGAAAAATACAATGGTTAAATATTAATGAGGTTAAATATGTCAACTTTCATGTTAATTTCTCAAACATCCATTTTTCAAGTACACTCTTTTAGTAACAATAAAACTCTAATTTAAATAAAAACAAGTAGCACCGAATGAATCACGTAAAACATAAAATAATTTAAATATAGAAATTTGCGATATCTTAGGAACATAAAATATATTATTTATTATTTGTTTCAAATGCTACCATCTAATAAAAAAATTGTTTTTGATTCTTTAAGACACTCTCTTACATTTGGTTAGCAAGTGTGTGACTTTGTGACTTATATAAGCTTAAACTATGGCGACACTATAGTTCATGTTTATATGATTAAAATTGATTTTTTTTTCTTTTTAAATTTTGAGATATTGTTATACCTTGTTATTTATCAACTGATGAGTTAGTTTAGATATTTCACACCAGCACCACTCTTTGATTAATATTAAATTTAAATTAATTAATTGTGACATTGGTACTTTAAGTCTAGTTTTTTTTTATATTTTTATTATTTTTCAAAATCTCTGCGTTGGTGTAGTTTATAATAAAATAAAATCAAAATCACTTTTAATATGTTATCTATTTAGGTAAATTTCTTTTTTATTTTTGATTTTTTCACAAAAATTTCACGTTCGGGTGGAAACAACTAGAGGGAAGTGGAGACAAGGAATATCAAAGTCATCTTTGAGATAAAAAAACACAAATTTAAGCTTTTAGATTTTTTTTTTATCTTTGTAATATAGTATTCATTATTGAATATGAAAGATAACATGTTATATATGTTCGAGAGTTGTTGTTGCAAGTTATGAAAATGGTAAATCTCAGCTTCTACCCGCTAATCTTAATATTTTAGAGAGTGTTGATGATTTTAAAGAACTCAAAAATTTGAACTGACCTTATATTTTCTAAATATATGATTTATATATATTTGTTGTTATGACTTGTCTTTCTATTTAGAAATTTTCATAATATTATCATATTCATATTTTGCATTCTATTTGTAGAGAGCAAGGTCAATTTTGTCTTCAATCTCTTCAATTTTTTCAATTGTATTAGTCTCCATGATAATGGCACATGGCAGCTACAACTTATAATGAGATACTAAGTGGTAAATGAAATTTTCATTTCTTTTGAACTTGTTAAAACATAATTGTATTGTATGATATATCATATGTTTGTTAAGGTTTCCTCTTTATGTGGCATTCATTGCAAGGTTTCTTCTTTATGTGGCGTTCATTGCAGAGGGACATTGCAGAAGAAATGGAGTAAATTAATTCTATTATCATAAAGTCATAATTCAATAAGTTTGAAAATCATCTAGTGGATTCAAGAGATTTGTTGGATAAGAACCTTTGGGTAAATATGCTTTCTTTTTATATATTTGCTGTCTCTATCCCCTGTCTTGTGAAACATCATTTTGTATCCTTTTTCTGACAAAATTCTTATTCCTTTATATTCTTGTTCAGTTTTTGTTTTATCTTTGGCTGTGTTCTGATCAAGCTAAACTTGAGATGAGTTTTTTAGTCAATTCTTCTTTGAATCAATTGGTTGTCATCAATGAAAAGTTTGTGGATTTTGATGAGTTGCTTAAGTTGGATTTTAACTTCTAGAAGATTGTGTTTGAACAAAGTTGGAGTAGATACTTTGAGATGCTCCGTGATTTCACTTATTCAGATCATGTCAAAGAGTTTTGGATTAATGCCTCCATTGTTAAGCTGAATTCTGAGTGTGTTACTCTTTCTAAAGTAACTGATGTTTCTATAACAGTAACCTCTAAAGCGGTTGCTAATGTGATCAATTGTGAGGAAATTGAAGAAATTCCAAAACTCTTGTTTGGGAACACTATCTTCCTAGTTGGCGTATCTTTGTAGATTCATCTAATACATCATTGGTCTCAAATCTTCATCCTAATGCAGTTGTTTGGATTCAAAATTGATGCCTAAAGATAAGGATTTAGACCTCTTGGACCCTATTGAAAAATATATGCTACTATTTCTCAATTCATACTTGCAGATTGATCTTCCTCAAGTAATGTTTGACTATTTGAAGAAGACTTTTTCTTCCTTTCACGAGGGAAATTTTTTTTTCATTCCTTATGGACAAGTTCTTTCAAAATTACTTGTTCAATAGGGAGTTATCATAATTTTAGAGGTCGATTCGTCTAAAATCTGGAGAGACAAGTTTGAAGCTATCTATGAAAGATTCTGATGTTAGGTTTCTACATAGTTATGTTTTGTAATTGTTAGAACCTTTGTATTAAGAAATCTTATTAATAATTCGTGTTTGTTCATGATGTTGTGTAGTTTGAATTGTTATTTATATATTTATTGTTGTTCTAAATTATTAAAGAAATAGGATTAAGTACTCAAAAAGTGAAATAATTCTCATTAATAAATTGGAAGATATTACAAATTATTTAAACCTTCTAGTCTGTTGGATTTGTCCTAAGGTATTTTCTAGGATCATCTGACATGTCCAGATCATCTAAAGAATCTTGCCATTTTTCCTTAGCAAACTTCAAAGCCTCCTTTCTCAGATGGCTTCTGCGTTTGGGCTCAAAAGTTCTCCTTCTTCTAGGAGTCTTCACAAAGGATGCTGAAGAGGTGTGCGCTTCTGAAGTCATCTGCTTGCTAGTAGATCCTCTAGTTTCTGCTTTGCTTTTGGTTGCTTGAGTTACTACATTTATTATGACTACCTTTCTAAAATCTCTCTTTGGAACCCCGACCTGTTTTTGTTTATACATCTTGGTGTTCTAAAGATTAAGTGATCAAAGGAGAGAGTTTGCTATGATTTTTTATGGACTTGTTACATTCATCGTCTTGAGTATCAGTTATTTTAATATTGATTAAGCCAAATCAATGTTTTAATGATGACTCTTAGAAATGTTATCTAACAGTCTGGCCTATTAATATTACTTTTAACAATAGTAAGTATTATAATTAACGCGTTTTACTGTTGCTTCTGGTGTCAGTATTACTTCATTAATGTTTTACCAACAAATCAGAATGTGAGTTAGGTGGTTGTGTGCATGCAATGTAAATATATATAAAAAAATTGGTCAAAAAAACCTATTCATTAATCAAGCAAAAAGATTACAAAAGAGTTTTACAAAAGGAAGTGTATGTTCTTAGAATAGATCTCTATCTAAGTCTTTTTTTTTGCCTTGAAGGAACAATAGTTGCCATAGTCAACTTCTGGTTCATCCTCATCAATGTCTTCCTCATCTGCTTCTAGGATAACAGAATTGTAAAATCTCTTGTTGAACATTGTTCTCCCTGACCTCTTCATAGACTTCCTTCTTAGCTTCATCGCAACTACTAAAGAACCTACTTTTGTAGGTTGTTGAGGAACTGC